GGTTGCCTCCCACACGTGCCCTGACTAGGGCTGGGGTTGAGCCTACAACTGAGGTATGTGCCCCTTGATTCAAACCCATGACCTTTTAGTCTGTGGCTCGGCGCTCAAACCACTGAGCCAAACCAGTTAAGCCAAAAGAATGAATTTTAAGGGGGCAAAATGAAACCGTATTTAGAGAATGAAGAGGGTGTAAGGGTGAGTGTGGAGGGGAAAGGAGAGCAGTGAGGAGGGGTCAGAGAGGCGAGGTTTACCCAGCTCCCGCCAGCGGGCCGGTGAGAGATGGCAGGGAAATGAACAACCTTCCAGAGTCTGCACCAGTTACTGAAAACACCAGCTAGGTTTTGTTTTGGTTTTTTAATTAGGAAGGAAAGTTAGACGGAAAAGAAGACATTCGCGTGTATTAGATTTCATTGGTACAGAGCTGGGGTATTTAACAAGGGAGTTCCTGTAATTAAAATGAATATCAGACAGGCAGCTTTCCCTAGGGAGCATCCATCGTCTTCCTCTCATTCCTGGGCCAATGGAGACAGGCTTACTAGTAAATGGCGCTGATTAACAGCACTACCCAGCCGAAGTCTGGCAGGAGCACGGGCATTTATCCTAATGGGAGTTGCAATAAAAACCAAGTGAGCGACTTAAATGCGAGCAAAGGAAAGAAAAATGCTTCAGACTGCCATGCTGTCCCGACACACCTCAGCGTGAAGCGATTTCACCAGCATTGATGCTGCAGCCCTGAGCCAGCTCAGGCTCAGTGCGGGATGGGCACCAGCTCTCTGAATTTCCCGTGGTGAGGTATCCACATACTTGTGCCCATTCTCCTTCACAATCAGCAGGCTACTTAGGTAAGATTTTGCAAGCCAGAAGGCTATCATAGGTCCCCAAATAAAATTACTCAGTGCTTTCACAGGTCCAACCCATGTTCTGTGTCTCAACAGCAAAGTTAGCTTCTGGGTTAACCAGACACACATCAGAATGCTCCAAATGTCACTTCCCAAGGGGCTATTTTGTCTTGAGTATTTTTTACCTTTCATCAAGATCACAATCCTAAAGATCTTGTTCATTGCCAGTTCCCACTCCCAAAGAAAGTCCAAAAGGACTCTGGGAACCTAACTGGTTTGGCTCAGGGTATAAAGCTTCAGCCTGTGGACCGAATTTGATTCCAGTCAAGGGCACGTGCCCAGGTTGGGAGCTTCATCCCTAGTAGGGAGCTTGCAGGAGGCAGCCAATGAATGCTTCTCTCTCATCATTGATGTTTCTATCTCTGTGTCTTCTCTCCCTTCCTCTCTGAAATTAATAAAAAATATATATTTTTAAAACACATACACATAGAACAAAAGGACTCTGGGGCACAGCTGTTTTAGCAGAAAGCACCATTAGCCAGAAACAATGCTGCAGGAGGGACGAGGGTGTGTGCAAAGGAGAGCGTGGGTGACAGGTGCCGGCCCCGGGGAGCCACATGGAGGTAAGATACAGGCAGAAGTGCCTCCAGGACCCCCACTTACCAGCTTGCTTTTGACCAACTGCTCTATTGCACTGACAAGGTCTGCAGCAGTAGGAACTTCGGCGGAAGCCTGCCGGGCTGCTAGCAAAGAGGAGGACTGCAAGACATTGAGCAGCAAAGGAAAAGCAGATTAGCAAGGAAATGAGGAATAGCCATTAGAAAGCAAAACAGCAAGTTGGAAGCTCAAGGCAGGCAAGGCAAGCAAAGCTCTATGTTTCGAGGGAAGAGATGACAGAGGGAAATAGTGGGTGTGGGTGTGGGACAGGCCTGCCAGACCCCATTTTCCATGTCAGGAAATCTGGCCAGAAGGAAGCAGGGATGGGACTAGGTTCTCCAAAGGCAGGCCACCAAAAGGGTGGGATCTCTGTGTTCCCTGAGAGGCCAAAGGTAAGGGCTGTACCCACTGACAGCAGTGAGAGTGATGGGCATGGGGGAAGGGGCCAGACAAGACTTTGGTCATCACAGGGCTGCTCATTGCTGTTCCAGGGTATGAAGGGAGTAAAAACACCTAGCCTCCAGTGTGTCCAAAGAAGAGACATGGTCCTTGCTTCACTCAGATCTTAAATATAGATCTTCACCTGGGGTCAAGCAAAAATGGTGGGGGCAGGGCACTTAGAAATCAGAAAGCTAGACACCTCCTTCACACGCACACACACACACACACACACACACACACACACTCCTCCACAAACACAGCTATTCCCGGTAAGGTCCCACACTGGAACACTGGGAAAATGTAAAGGGCTTTAGCAGGATATGTGTGTCTCCTGGAGCAACAAAGGACTCTTCCGCTCACAGTGAGGCAGGCTCAGCCACGGCTGCCCCGCTTCCCCTCAGCCCACAGTAAGGATGGGTCCAGGTGGCTGTTGGTCCACGGTTTGAGAACTCCTGCTCACCGAGGGGCGGTGGCATAGTTTCTTCCTTCTCCTACTTGAGAAGATATTGGGGGACATGACTAACCCTACATGCATGGGGGAGCTTTTACCCCTGGCACATCACAGCACAGGGCAACGGTGCTCCAAGCCCCGGGACGCATGCGCCTTCAGCCTCTGATACTAATGACCGACTGTCTGGCTGTGCTCTGGTTTCCAGCCTGTCCCTTACGTTCGGGGAAGAGTGTCAGAAAGGAGGCTTATTGTTGTCTAATCTCAGGGTGAGTTTAGTCTCTGCTTCTGAGACGGGGTAAAAAAAATCAGGTAAGTGTAATTCAGAGAGACATAAGGACACTTTTCTTTCTCTCCTGGGAAAGGCAGGAAAAAAGCGCCAGTCTGTTTGGAAGTCCAAGTTATCAACTTTTTGATCTAGTAACCCTATCCCCGGGAAGTGTTTGCAAGGGCAGCAGTGTATGTACCAGGTGACCAGGGCAGTACTCTCTGGGGTAGCCAAAGCTGGAAGCAGCCTGGGATATCCTCAAACAGGCTGGTCAAACTAATTCTGCCACATAAGTAACCTAATACTCCCTCACTCGTGAAATCATAGTGACGGAGGTAAAATTAATTGGGACATAGTAAGTGAGACATACATGCAAATGAATGAATATTAGAAGGAAACATGCACAACATTACAATGAATAGAATTTAAAAATTCCTTTACACTGTTGTAAAAATTATTTTTATAAACCAAACACCATTTGCTAGACATTCTGAGGATCCTCAAATTTCCCAGAAAACAAGGGTTCAGAAGTCAAACAAGCAGGAGGAGGAGGGTTAACGAGTCTACAAAGTGACTGTTGCCATCTCCCGGTTTCTGGCTGAGAAAAGACAGCTGGGAGTAAGTCCACATTTTCAGTTAAAAATTATCCAGAAACAACATAACATCCTTTTCCCCAAACAAACTGTTTCTGGGGTTACTATTGGGGGAGGGTTCGTGACCTTTGCTTATCTTCTGCAAGCTGGCACCTTGGTGTGGAGGGCTGCGTGGGATGGTCGATAATGCGACACGAGGGTCCCACTGCCCACGGGCGCTATCACTGTTTACAGAACACGTTACACGGATAGGCCTCTGGGAACACAGCGGGCTGGTCCTCGTTCCCACCTCGAGGCGAAGCACAGAGATTCCAGGATGGGCACCACGCCAGGCTTCTTGCTACTTGCTGCCAATAGTCAAGAGTCAGAGCTGGCCCCGGAGACCAGGGTCACCAACATCCCCTTAGGAGGGGCCACAACTGTGCTTCTCATGGCAAGTCACAGAGGGGGCAGCGACCACATCTTAGTCATCATCCTGTCCTCGGAATGAGTCCCTCTGGCGCAGAGGAAGCCCTCGATTAGTGTCTGTGGGTAATGACCCAAATGTAGAGAAGAATTAAAACAAGAATTGGGCTGTCTCCAGAAATGCTGAAGCATCCACACAGTCCTTTTGGAACTGTATCCTAGATGGTACTGTATGCATCCGCGGGGTGCTGCCCCACTGCATGGCAGAACAGGAGAGAGCACAGGGAGACCTGGACAGAGGCTAAGCACTGCCACTACCACTGCCATTGTTACCACCAACCACCAGTGTCACCACTACCACTGCCACCACCACCACCACCACCACCACTGCCACCGCCACCACCACCACCACTACCACCATTACCGCCACCAACACCACTGCCACCAATGCCACCACCACCATCACCACTGCCACTACCACCACCACCACCATCATAGCTGCCACCACCACTGCCAATGTCATGGCCAGGACTACCACTGCCACAACCAGTACATGACATTCTGAAAAGCAAATGCAATGTACAATAAAAAATGGAAACCATCACTTCAACTCCAGAGTCCAAAGTACAGCAACACTAAGAGAAAGCGTGGCTTGTAAGGAAAGTGAGTGATGGAGCACATGCTTAAAGCAGCCTCTGGCCTCGGGTCAGAACCTGAACACATATCCCACCTCAGCTTCTGCTCCAGAAAAACCGGAATGATCACCCTGCGATTAGAGCCCACTAATCATACTTCGGACACCTATGGGCCTCAGGGCAATTGCAAAACAGAGAACTTTAGCAACCTGGCATGCTGGGTTTGCCCACCTCTGACAGCAACCTCCCCTGAGCTCCATCCTCATGTTGTGCCTGCAGAATGTCAACAGCATTGGGCTTGCCTGGAAGTTCCCATTATTTAGGTGCTAGCATTGAGGACAGGGGAAACAATTAAAGAAGCACAGGAAAACCATCATGGCCGGGACCACTTCAGTTTCTTTTTGAGACTAACCATGCCTTTTGGGATGAGCTGCTCCCAAAGACAAAGCCATGACCTTTCATCCGTAGGACATGATACCAGCAGATCCCCACTCTGCTCATTCTACACACACGGCCACACTGCCCAGAAAGAAGTCAGACCTCCAGGGTTTATAGCGGGAGGAACCTACCAGCTACAGTGGGAACCCACACCACCATGGATTCATGTGGTGCAAGAGATAACCAGGGAGTGAGCACTGCTGCCTACCACACACGCAAAATGAAAGCACATGTGATACACATCCTCGTTCAAGTGAGAGAGCCAAGAAGTCCTACCATCTCATCCTGCGCAGGGTCGTTGTCAAAGATCTTCATGGGCGGAGGGAGCGGGGTGTGGGATTCTTCATCTGGCTCATCTTCACCCCAACCTTTCTTGCTCTTCTAGAACAAAAGAGCAGCATTAGGCACTGTTCCACGGAATTAAAGATGCCAATGAACTTGGCATTTTTTTAAAGCAACATATAAGATACCTCCTCTCTCAACCTACCCCTACTTTTTTTAGCCTCAGTGCCTTCCTCTGTAGAACAGGTATACTTGCTTATCTCAAAGAACAGTGAGGACCAAATGAGGGAAACACACACACACACACACACACACACACACACACACATGCATAATCCTTGTGGATTAGCCAGTGAAAGGGAAAGCTGAGTGTGGTCAGAGAAAGCCTAACTCTTGAGTTTTCGAAGGACTATTAAAACATAATCTGAGCCAAAACCGGTTTGGCTCAGTGGATAGAGCATTGGCCTGCGGACTGAAAGGTCCCAGGTTTGATTCTGGTCAAGGGCATGTACCTTGGTTGTGGGCACATCCCCAGTGTGGGGTGTGCAGGAGGCAGCTGATAGATGTTTCTCTCCCATCGATGTTTCTGGCTTTCTATTCCTCTCCCTTCCTCTCTGTAAAAAATCAATAAAATATATTTAAAAAAACAAAAACAAAAACAAAAACACATAGTCTGAGTATTATCAGGCTCCTTTTCACAGGAAGAGATGGTAGACAGCACAAAATTACAGTGAACGGTTACTTATCAGGAAGTACTTCTTAGTCACATCAGTGACTAGAGTAGGCTAGTTTGCCAGATAATACAGCTATCTCATTCCACCAACAAATAGACCCTCTACATTTTGATCACAGAATCCCAGCATTGGGAGGCATTTCCAAGGGTCATCCCATCTGACCTCTTGGCCAGCACAGGCGTCTCTCTGTTAAGTGAGATCATGCAGTCTCCCAAACCCTTGCAGTTCGGTGGCCTTTCATTTCATAAAGACTCCTTCCATCGCTAGCTGACCCCCCTGTGAAGTCTCTCTTTGAGCTGAAAACTTGCCGGTGGAAATGTTCACCCATCTGACAATCATGATTCTCTCCTGGCAGCAAGCTGGGCTTGTCTGTTCCCTTTCATATGTGGCAGTGCTCAAGGCACTTGTAAAGAGCGACAATCTCCCAGCACAGTCTCCTGTTTTCCATGTGAAATGGCCTCTATTCTTGTATTCCTATTCTAAACAGGCCGAGCAGGTTCTGATGGAGTCCCTAGCAGTGCAGGGGCCTAGGTGACCACCTGGCCCCCCGTGGAGCCAAATCTAGCAAAATGGTGTCTGTGTGCAGAGGTGCTAGGTGCTGCTAGTCTTTGAACTGGCCACAGACCAAACGGGCAAGGTCTTGAAGACACAAAGAACTCAGGCCACTTAAGCTCAAGAAGACACTACTGGGGACTAGACTGTCCAGCTTACTACACCCCAGGGAAGATGGTGCCCGGGGCTGCAGGAAGGATGTGTGCCGAAGCCCTTCCAAGGGCCGCAGGCGGGTACCTCATCGGCACTGTCTCCCTGAGGCGTCGTCTCATCCCCAGGCTTGGGAGAGCCCAGGTCGAAGCTCTTGCGGCCATCGCGCACTTTCTTCTGCTTCTTGATGTTTCCGTCTGCTTTCCCGCTGTTGAGCCTGCGCACAGGACTAGTCAGCCACTTCTTAAGGGTATTGGTGGAGCGCTTGGGACCGGGGGAGCTGTGGATGGAGTTCAGGGAGGGCTGGCTTTGCAGGTTGGCCACTGACTCGGACTTGCCTCCATTTTCACTTGAGGAATGAGAGTATGCATCTGAGGAAAAATAGACAGAGCGGAGTCAGGGGCAATAAAGGCACCTTTCAGCCCAGGCATGAGGCAGCTCTGTCCTCAGGAAGTGAGGACATGAGGGAGAACGTCAAGGCCAGCTGCAGGCCCTGGTCAAGGGAACTCTCTCTGGAGCGGCAGGACTTGCCTAGACCCTCTCAGTTTTTTTTTTTTTTTTTTTTTTTTTTTTTTTTTTTTTTTTTTTTTTTTTTTTTTCTGTGCAAGGCACCACTCCAGGTACTGTGGAAACAGGAGAGGATAGAAGACAGACACCCGGCGTCATGGAAAAACCCAAGGTCCTAAGAAGAATTACTGACCAATAGTAATGTCATCATAGAGCACCCATTAGTGTTTTCTAAAGATATGCAAGTCATAGCGCTTGTTTTCAGAGGCCCCTTATCTAGCTACTCTCTCTGTCTCTCTGTCTCTCTCTCGCTCTCTTATACACACACACACACACACACACACACACACACACACACACTCACACACACACACACACACACACACACGGAAAGAGAGAGAGGCAGAGAGTGAAAGAGCAACACAGAGCATAGGAGGAGGTAAAGATAATCCACACAGCAGGGTGTGATTAATTGTATGGTCTCTGGATGACAAGGCAGCAGAATTCAGAGGAGGGTCAATTTCGTGTTGGAAGGGCTGGACTGCCAAGGTTTGGAAGAAGAGATGTGTGTGACTAGAAGGGAAGGGAAAAAGGGAAAAGAAGTTTTGAAAGGGGAGAGGGTGGAGACAAAAGCACAGAGGAAAATGGAAAAATGAAGTTACCACAGCCCATAAGTAGATCTTTTGAATGAAATAAAGATTAATGGAGAAGGAGAAACTGGATAGAAAGATTAGTGAGGACATTTAATAATGAACTAAGGGTATGAGGTTTATTGTAAGACTTCACTGTAATGACATGATAAAAAGGGGTGTGTGGGTTTTTGTTGTTGTTGTTGTTGTTCATTTGTTAGTTAGTTAAGCTGGTAACTGTATATGCATAGCCCTGGGAAGGGGGTTAGAATCCAGAGGCCACACCAGGACTGTGCACAGGGACTGCAACAGAATGAATGGGAGGCACTTCCAAGCAAGGAGTGATGCCGTTCGTATCTGGATGACAGTTGAAGGTGAGCTGTCTCTCTGTAGGCTGTTTCTTTCTCATTCCCAGCGTGGTCTTGGGAGGATGCCTGCTTTACCTTGACCTCTGATGCCCCATCACTCCAGTGCCAGTGTGCATACCGATATTTAAACCAGACTCATGACTCTGTATTTAAACAAATGACTTAAACAAAGTGGCTCCTACTTATCTCAAAGACAGAATTCCCTTTCCTCTAATACCTCCCTCCTGAACCTAGACTCCAGGTCTAATCTAACCTTGGAACCCATAGGCTAAACCCAGAAGAAACAGAATCCCCAGAGAAGGTGAGTGAGCGGGTTTTTTGCCCATGGAGAGCTGGCTCAGGGTCTACAACCACCTACTTAGTCTGGAGGGCACCAAGCGTGGCCCTGCAGGACTTTCTCAAATATTGCTAGAGTTTTATACAAAGTTTAGAAAATAACAGTATATTAGCTGCATCAGGAAGCACATAGAAAATCGAATTCCTTTCTTAGATACTGCTAGGGTTTTATACATAGCGTAGAAAATAGCAGAATAGTTGCATCAAGAAGCACATGGAAAGTTGAGTTCCTAAAGTCCTTTGGCATGGAGGACAACGTACGGGGTCTCTCTGCTGAGGGAACATTTGGGGCTCCACTGAGTTGGCCGGCATCGCTTTGAGGACAAAGTTGTAATCTTATCTCAGAGAATTCCTTGCTGGCTGTGGTCTCCAGTATGTTGACATTGCTTTTGAAGCCTCGGTATGGGTCTAACTCCTGTTCTCAGAAGTCTGGCGATAAACATCTCCCCCGCCTGGCAGAGGGACCAGCGCCTTTCTGTTTATCTTCTGCCGATAAGCCTCAGGAGGCTGTCATTCGCCAGGCCCCTGTGATACCACAGCATTAAACCCAAGCCCTCGAGACCTAGATTAATCAGCACATACTCAGTCAGCAGAACTGGAGGCCCAGCCACACCAGCCATGCCGTGTGTCACTAAGTAAGGCAGATGACTGTCCATATTTTCTGCTCCACAGCAAGCCACAACCTGGCTCTGAGAAGCACTAATGCTAAACCTGACTGACCATTCTTTCTCCTCCATTGTCATCTGGTTCTGCTTTGGAGGGTCCTGGTCAAATTAATGGCAAGAGCATAAACTACAAAACACAAATGAAACGCCAAGAGTATTCTCTACTTTGTTTTTCCTGTGTAAACAATTAGGGTAATTCAACCACAGTCCACAGAGAAGAGAATTCAAGAGTTGGAAGCAATGTATGATTCATCATCTAGTTAGAACTGATACAGAACCATTTCTAAAACCACTTTTTCTTGTTTTTATTTTTCAATTCTGAGGTATAGTTGATTAATATTTATTTTATATTTATAACTGTTTCAGTTTAAAAATATATTTTTATTGATTTCAGAGAGGAAAGGAGAGGGAGAGACACAAACATCAGTGATGAGAGAGAATCATTGATTGGCTGCCTTCTAAATGCCCCCCACTGGAAAAGGAGCCTGCAACCCAGGCATGTGCCCTTGAGAACCAAACCCGGGACCCTCCAGTTCACAGGCCAATGCTCTATCCACTGAGCCAAACCAGTTAGGGCATTGTTTCAGTTTTGAGACATGTAACATTATATTAGTCCAGCATGATTTGATATATACTAATATATATGTATTGGGAATGATTATTACCACACTACATTTAGTTATCATCCATCATCTCACATAGTTACAATTTTTTTTCTTGTGATGAGAACATTTACTAAATCACTTCAAATACATGGTTATAAAGGAATGCAGCATCATTTCATTTATTACTACTTCAAAGGCTGATTGGTATGTTATGATCCTCTCATCTTTGGAAGATGACTGCAATAAGCAGTTTGAGGATTTATTCTAGTACCTTCCCAGGAACAACAGTGATGGCATTGGTTTGTAACATCTTCAATGATAATACTATTAATCTCATCAAATCCTTCCAAGCTGAGGTAGGCACTATTTTTTTTTAATCTTAAGAAATATAAAAACTGAACATTTTAGGAAGCCAAGACTCATAGTAAGTGGTAAGACTTAAATCCAGATCTGATTCCACCACACAAATATTGAATCTTATTCCTACATCTGCGTTCACTCCAGGTACTCCCTTAGCCCACATAATAATTGTAAAAAGGAGCATGAAGTCACCAGTCTTTGTAATATTTAAAATATACATATCATTTATCTTATATTTATAATATATAAAAATCCAGGGGCCGTCATGACCTAAACAACCAGACAGATGACCCAACAGCAGTCTGCTGGCCTCAGCCTGGGTGTGGTGGCAGTGGGAGGGAGCTCTGGGCCCCGGTTGGGGCCCAATAGAATTTTGGGTCTCACATGATCTGGGGCATGGCCGGCCTTCAAATTGGACCCTGACAGGTGGAAGGAGAGAGCCCCATTCCTCCCAGGAAAGGCTGTCTGATTCCAATAATTGATTTGTCCCCAGCTGACATTGGCTTCCCATTTAAATTAATTTGAAGATAGTTTCCCGTGATGCCAGCATTTGCAATGATTATTAATAAATCACAAGGACAAACTCTACACAGAGTAGGAATATTCCTACCTGAACCTGTTTTCACACATGGTCAGTTATATGTTGTTTTCTCTCAAGTTTGAAGAACATGTGATGTTAAAGTTGTAACATCATCATAAGGGAAATTAGTCAAGCACTCTGAAAGTGTTTTCACTCTTAATACGGTATACCAGGAGATAGTAGAATCAGTTTAACCCATTTGTCAGTCATTGTTTGTATCAGTGTGGTCTTTACATCAAGTTTTTGTTGTTTTCATATCATATCTTTGTTGTTATAGCATGTGATTATTTATTAATACATTTATATATTCTTTTCATATGCATTTTACTAATTTTCTTTCATTTCTGACACTTCTATTATAGAGAAAGGGCAAATAGCAATATTAAAATATTTCCTCTAATCAATTCCCTTTTAATGTGCATGAATTTTGTTCACTGGGCCACTAGTGTAAGTTATAAAATTTCAATACTGAAAGCAGCATAAATCTTTCAGAGAAAACAATGAAGGTTTTGACATGGGAACCTACTGTCACAACTGAGTTGTCACAAAGCTAGAATCAGAATCCAGGCTCTTAAAGGATGCTTCCTCATCAGCCCTGAGGTAATAGAAACTGCCCATTAGACTGATACCTGGTTTTAAATCATGGGGGGAAAAAAATGGGTCCCCCAGATATTCTGGTATGTACCATTTGCTTTCTAAATAAATAAAAAAATATCATTCTTTAAGGCTAATTATACTATGAAATATTTTTAAAATACAGAAAAAAATTAACACCCATATAGATATGATAAATGTAAATATTTTTTGCCACATTGGCTTTAGTTTTTAAAAAATGAAATAAAATATCATATAGTTGAAGCCTTTTGCCTATTTGCAATCCTGCTACCCACTTTCCCTTCCCAGAGTTTAATTCTTTTCTGAAGCATCTTTCCCATACATGTTGTTAGCATTTACTGTGTATGTGAATATATTATTTTGTGTTTTATATTTTATATAATTATAATGTGGGTATCATTTTGTAACTTGCTCTTTTATTCAAAATTTGATTTTTTTGTGTTCATATATACGTAGATCTAGCTTATTTTAATAATTGAATACTCTTTCTTAGGACATATTGTGATGTTTGTAATACATTTTCATAACAGTAGACTTTTAGGTTCTTACACAAGCGTGTGTGTGTGTGTGTGTGTACACAGGTGTTTAGTGATTTTAAGCACTCCTATATAGGTTTCTTTGCATATAGGAAAAAATTCCTCTAGGACAAAGCTTCCCCAACTATTTGTGGTAAGAGACCCAGTTTTATTATATCTAGCCTGTTTTA